AAGGTCCAGAGAATGTTAGAAACCTGAAATTCATAGGGAACACTCAGCACCCCAAATATAGTAGCCAAGAGTGAGTTAGACTGAATTGAATTCTAGAGCTCTAGAGGAGGACTATTATCTCTTTTGCTTACGAGTCTCTCTATATCCTAGTACTGTGCCTCTCACATAGTAGATGTACAATAAAAGTATACTGGGACTGTGCACAATGGCTCGCACCTGTGATCCCAGCACTTCAGGAGGCCAAGGTGGGAGGATTGCTTGAGGCCAGGAGTTCGAGATCAGCCTGGACAGTACAGTGAAACCCTGTCTCTACCAAAAAAAAATTTTTATTAGCTGGACATGGTGGTGCATGCCTGTAGTCCCAGATACTGAGGAGGCTGAGGTGGGAGGATAGCTTGAGCCCAGGAGGTCGAGGCTGCAGTGAGCTGTGATTGCATCGCTGCATTCCAGCTGGGTGACAAAGTAACACTCTGTCTCAAAAAAAAAAAAAAAGTATTGTAGAAATACCACTGATACCCTTGACCAGCCCTAAAAATGTATTGGATGAATGAATGAATAAATGAGTAAATAAAGAGGGCAGCAGAGGGACAAAGGAGGCATGGGCAGGGAGATATTTGACATAATGAGTCAGGGGATCTTGGCCAGTTAGAAAAGAAACAGACCAAGCAGAGGGCAAGCATTTTGGTAGGAAATGGAGGCAGAAAGAACTGGAGATCTTAGTGATGCTAACGAGAAGGCAGAGTGGAAATAGAGAATGAATAACACAGGAGCTAACACCAGAAAGTTTAATATATTTTCGAGATGGGTAAATTGTGGATGAAGACAAAGTCTAGAATGTGTCTGCGGGCACCAACTGAATGGACAAGGGGTGGAGGTCATTGGAGTTGAGAAGAGGTAAAAAAAAAAAACTATGAAGCCAGGATTTTGGATGGTTGTCCAAAGCAACATCAAAATCATCCATAATGGTGCCAAATATGAGCTAAATAAATAATCCTTTGCATTCTTTCTTCATCAGCAACAAATGAGGAACCAGAGTGAGGTTTGCAAATGTACGTGAAAGATCAGCAAAAAGGCAAGAACAAGAACCATTGGAGAGACAGACATGAAAAGAAAGAAAAGAGGAGGGTATGAGAGGTGAGCCCTTGAGAAATCACAGCCTAGGCACGGAACAGGAGGGGAACGGGGGGGGGATGCTCTTGCCACCTGGGGTGTCAGGCAGAGCAGACCTCCAAGCCGACACCCAACAGTGCTTCATGCTGTGCTTGGTGGGCCTGGTTAGTGGGGGGTAAATCCCAGCTCTCCCACCACCCACTCCTCACATATATTTATCTCACTGGAATTTCATACCACCTGGCAGATCCGATAGTTACAGATGAGTAAACCCAACTTACAGTTGAAGAAACTGAGGCCAGAGAGTGAAGTGAGTTGCCTATGATCCCTAAATCATTCAGCAAGCTGGGGCCAGGGAAGGAACTGCGGCTGGGTGTGCTGAGTGCCCATTTCATGGCTGCTGGGGCTATGGTAGGGAAACGGTGTGCAGCAGTGGGGGAAGGGATATAGCCAATCCAGGGCAGTGGAACCCATTCCAAAATAAGTGCCCAAGTGTATGATCAACGGCTTTGCTCCAGTGGGGTAGAATGGGAAGACACTAGAAAATGTGGGAGCCCCTTCACACCCACCCTTTTGATTTCTCAAGAGTCCAAGGCTGGAGATAATCTATTAGTGCTGAGTCCATGGCCTGCATAAACCACATGGAGAAAGCTCTGATCTCCCACTCCACCCTTAGCAGTGTCTATAGCACAGCGAGCTAGGGAGGGAACTGTTTCTGTTATCATCCACTAACACCTGCGCTCTAAGAGATAACATGATTAACTCCAGAGAACAGGGGTCAGAATAGTGGGTGCACAATGGAGGCCAGGAATCCCTGGGTGACAAGAGGGAGCTCTGGGGGCCTGCTGGGTGGAGGCGGTGCTGGTGAGGGGCCAGGGGTCAGAGACACACTTTAGATCTTGCTGCTTTGCCCTGGGAGACTCCATGCAGGCCTTTCCCTAGACAGAGGGGTTGCTCATTGTTTCCTTATCTCTGGGAGCCAGTGACAGCCTGTCCTCCAAGGCTGCTGATCACATGGCATTGTTATCACCCTGTGTCTGTCACCGGCCAGGGCCGTGGGGCTGTCGATTTCTGACGAACAGCACTTGAGCGCTAAAGGGAATCTGTTCTTGGCCTTATCTCCAGCCTGCGTATCCTGCTTTACCTCCACATTTGGTCCCCGTGGGGCCGTCACTTTGCCAATAGCAGTCCCTGGGGCACCCAGATAAAGTGCTAGCTGCCTGTGCCCTGGGGCTCTAGTCAATGGCTGTGGGGACTGGGAGTGCCCAGGCTAGCACCTCTGGTCCAGGTCAGCATCAGCATCTCCGGGGCACTGTGGCCAGAGAATGGCCAGAGCCCTGGCCACAACACAGGCACAGAGATTAGCTTGGGGAATGTCCCCAGCTTCAACATTCAATAGCTATGTGGTCTTTTCATTTGCATACAGTTTGAACAAGAGAGAAAAACAAGTCAGCACCACGGACAGCGTCCTGTGAGGCCTTTCCTTAATCGAAAGCAAGCAGGGATGGAAAGAAAGAAGGAAGGAGAAGGTGAGGGAGGGAGAAGAAAGGGAGGGGAAAGGGGGAAGAGGCAAAAGGAAAAGGAGAGGAAATGGTGAGGGGAGGGGAGGGGAGGGAGAATTTCTTTGCAGGCCAAATAATGGTGTGGTATTTTTTAGTCTCCGCTTTCAACTTGGCCAGTGGTTGAAGAAAAGACTATTTGACCAAGGAAGGGCAAGTGAGTGAGATTAAAGGTTCTTATGACCTTAGAAAAAGAAGAATATGTGGCCAGGCATGATGGCTCACAACTGTAATCCCAACACTTTGAGAGGCTGAGGCAGAAGGAGAGCTTGAGCTCAGGCAGTTGAGACCAGCCTGGGCAACAGGGCGAAACCCTGTCTCTGTAAAAAGTAAAAAAATTAGCCTGGCATGGTAGTGCAGGCCTATAGCCTCAGCTACTGGGAGCTGAGGGAGGAGGATCACTTGAGCCTGGGAGATTGAGGCTGCAGTGAGCCAAGATCCTGCCACTGCACTCCAGCCTGGGGTGACAAGGCAGGCCCTATCTAAATACAAACAATAAATAAAATAACACAAAAAATAAATTATAAAGAATTAAGAAACTTAGCTGGGCATAGTGGTACACACCTGTGGTCTTAGCTACTTGGCAGGCTGAGGGAGGAGGATCTCTTCAGCCCAGGAATTCGAGGCTGCAGTGAGCTATGATTGAGCCACTGCACTCCAGCCTGAGTGACAGAATAAAGTCCTGTCAAAAAAAAAAAAAAAAAAAAAAAAAAAAAAAAAAAAAAAAAAAAAAAAAAAAAAAAAAAAAAAAAAAAAAAAAAAAAAAAGCAATGAGATACTGCACACCAATAGAGGCCAAAGAAAGAACTTGGAAGAAGTGACAACAATAATAAAATAAGTATTTGTTGTGTTCCATGCTAAGTTACTTATATGCTAGAACTCATTTAGTCCACCCACCTGCCTTGTGACATAGTTGCTCTCAGATCCTCCATATTACAAATGAGGAAACAGAGTATGAATGAGATTTAATAACTAGCCTGAAGTTCCACTGCCAGCTGATGGCAATGCCTGTGACCTTAGGAGGAAGTAGATCCCAGCTTACCTTCTTTTCTGTTTTACTCCTTTCTGATCCTCTCCACTCACCTTAAGTATCCAGTATCTTTTTGAATTTTTAGTACAGAGTTGGCTTCTTAAACTTACTGGTTAACATGCCCCTATGTTTGTAAAAGAAAAGTACTGGGTTTCATTTTTTAGCTTAAAACACTTTTTTGTATTTTCCAACTAAGGCATAGTTTGACTCCATGGGGCAGAAAAGGGACTATTTGGGCAGGACCTGAGGAATCACACTGTGGCTGATTCCCGAGAATTGGGGAAGACTTGAATGCTTGAAAATGGACTACCAAGATTGTCAAATGCAAGGTTATCTCAGGAAAGCTCCTTGTGTGTGTTTGGCTGGTCTGAGGTAAAGAGAATAGTCACAAAGACCCCAAAGTCAAGCTCCAGCTTTGCTGTCAACCTTCAATGACCCTGGGCAAATCCCCTTTTCTCTCTAGACCATAGAGGGAAATCATGGAGTCCCCACAAGGTCACATAGGGCAGATACTTGCCATATGTCATTAATCAAGGATGAATTTTCTCCATCTATTTTTTTGGAAGTCAAGAACGGCTTCATTACTTTGAAGCATAGCCTGATCAGAGTGCCTGAGCCTGTGTTCCACACTGAAGATAACACTCGGTGTAGAAGGAGATGACAGAGCATGTGCTACTAGGGCGTTTAACACTGGATAGAAAGAAGGTAGATGATTGGCAGATGGAGGAAGGCATACACAGCTTTGATAAATGAGAACTGCCATACACCATAACTCTTTTGGGGAAACTCAGAGATCCTCCCTAAAGTACTCTGCCCTCCCACCCAACACACACTCATTGAAGTCCTCAAGGACATAATTCCTGAGCTACAGAACAAGGGCTTTTGATGGAAGGAGACTAGATGTCTTCACAGCTCTTCTTCCCCATGACTTTCTCTGATGAGCCCTCTTTGGGGCTTCCCTCTGCCCCTATGGATAGCTTCTTTCTTAGCACATCCTAAGGCTGATGCTCAGGGCCTCTTTAGCATGGGGGAGAGAACATTTGGCATGGTTTAGTGAGTATCACAGTAGTCTGGTAGATGTGACTTAGGGTATGAGCTAGAGAATGGAAAGGGGTCTTCTTTTATTTCTTTATTTTTACTTTTGAATAAAAATAAAGATGGCATCTTGCTATGTTGCTCAGGCTAGAGTTCAATGACTATTCACAGGCACAATCATAGCTTGCTACAGCCTTGAATTCCTGGGCTCGAATGATTCTCCTGCATCAGCCCCTTGAATAACTGGGACTACAGGCATGCACCACTATGCCTCACTGACAGGGGTAATTAGAAGAGAGCACCAACTCATAGAGAGAGAGAGAATGTGCCCAGTTGTGTGATCTTTGCAGATAAAGAGAGACCTAGGTTCAGATTCTAGCTTGATGACTCCCTAGTTGTTTGACCTTGAGCATGTTGCTTCAGTGTCTTCATTTGTTTGGGATAAATAAGTTAGAGAGATCTGTTAAACCTCCAAGTTGACCAGGAATGTAAGTTGGGCCTCAGAGGAGAGAATAGGACTGAAAAAAACACACATAGGAGCTGTTGTCTATGGTTGATATTGTAAGTCATGGGAGTAGATGAGTTTCCTGCAGGAAGGTTGGGAGAGAGGTGTGTTATTTTGGGCAAGTTATTTAACTTGTGTTTCAGTTTCCTCATCCACAGAATGGGGATGATAATAGTGTTTACCTCATTGTTCTGAGGACTGGATTTAGATAGCGCATGTTCAAGCACTTAGAGTCTGGTAAATGCTTAACAAAGAAGGATGATATTAGTAATCCTTACCCAGAACTTCAAGGCTCAGGTAATCATCCCCATTTTACAGATAAAGAGACTGAAGCTCAGAGAGTCTAAGGTCTCATGACTTGTAAGCAGCACATCACTATAAGCCCATGCCACACTGCTCCTGTTCTTGTAGGGGAATACCATATAGACACATTTCTTAAAATGTAAGAGGTGAATTATATGAATCTGGCTAGAAAGGACAGTGCTGATCCTTCAATAACAGTAGTAGGAGATACTGGCTTCAGAAGAAGCCACAGTAGGGTAGAAACTACCATGATCCTTTTAGGATAAGTTCCTAGGACAATACAACTTGGTGTATTATGTGCACATCGAGTTCCCTATCTCCCACATTTAACCCCCAAGTTGATAAATGTTTTCCGTGATTCAACTCCTCTCAGTTCCAGAAGCCAATGAAGCAAGGCTCATGCAAGGAGTGAGTCCCATTTGCAGCCTCAGATGAGCCAGTGAGGCAGAAAATGCAGATAATAAAGAGAGTTAATGACAGGCCTCTCTAGCTGCCTGATCTGGCCCTTGGGGAGAAGGAGTCAATGAGCTCCTGTCACTGCTGTGCAGGATTCCCAATTTCTTCATCTTCTGCTTTCTGCACAGTCCTCTTCTCTGCCTGGCTTGCAGCCTTGGCCACTGATTGCAGCAGTTCACACTGGGAAACAAGACCAGAAGAGATCTGGGGTATCTCTAGGGCAGTGGTGAGATGCAGATGGCAGGATGTAACTTGGTTTTCTTAGCAAAGATTGCACAACTTCTCCAACTCCCCAGAAAACAAACTTCCTCAGGAATCCCATGGAGATGACATAAAAGGAAGGCCCACCCTGGAACTCATCGTTAATAATACCACTAGTAAAAACTATCACTGAAGTGAGAGAACTGGAATGTGTCAAGCACTACACTAAGAGTTTTACATATGGTATCTTATTTAGTCCTTACAGCAGCCTTTCAGTGATGATATTATTATTATTATGCCCGTTTTACAGACGAGGAGACTGAGCTCATAGAAATGACATTGTTTTCTCCTTAAAATCACATGGCATGAAGTTGGCAAATCTGGGATTGAAATCCAGGCCAGTATTACTCCAAAGTCTAGGCTGGATTGCCTCTGTCCTTACACATCGTCTTGAAAGACAATCAGTTTCATTAATTTATTCAAAAATTAGCCAGTCTGTCAGAGAAATGGCCCTAAGCTAGGTATCTCTTACTTCCTTTTTTGGTAGCACTATGCCTTTACCAATAAAACCTTGGGTCATGTGCTGTCTTGATACTAATAGAGTTGCATGATTGACATTCTTGAGTTTGTGGTCAACTAGAATCTTCAAATTTTTTTCATTCACACAAAGCACAATGGTTTCAAGAGGTTTTACTGCCCTGGAACCTGATATCCTTCTCCTTGGTAGTTCAAAACAGAGGTAGTGCATTTAGAATGGGTTTCACTTTGTTTTCTGTTTTTCCTTTTATTTTTGAGACAGAGTCTCACTCTGTCACCAGGTGCCATGCTGGAGTGCAGTGGCACAATCTTAGCTCTCTGCAACCTCTGCCTCCAGGGTTCAAGCAATTCTGCCTCAGCCTCCTGAGTAGCTGGGACTACAGGCGCACGCCACCACATGCAGCTAATTTTTGTATTTTTAGTAGAGATGGGTTTCATCACGTTGGCCAGGATGGTCTTGATCTCTTGACCTCGTGATCCACCCGCCTCGGCCTCCCAAAGTGCTGGGATTACAGGCTTGAGCCTCTGCGCCTGGCCTGTTTTTACTTTTTAATCAAGGTATAATTACACAGCAAAGTGTGCTTATTTCAAATAGATATCTAGTTCAATTAATTTTTACCCAGATGGAAATAGAGAACATTTTCCCTATAAGATTCCTAGTCAACCGCTCTACCCTAGAAGTAACCACTATGGATTTCACTGTTTTAATTTGAAATGTTCATTTTTTACAAAATATCAACTTTTACAAAATGAGATTTAAGTCTAATAGAATCCTTTCATCCCAGCAATTAATATTGTTCATTCTTCCTTTCTTCCTTTTTTGAGAGAACAGGTGGTAGTTGCTATTCTTAAATGTCTTAGTTGTTTTTATAAAACAATTTTCAGTTTTTATAAAACCATTTTAAATAGCTGTTCCTCGGTCTGAGAGTATGGTTTTCCTACTTATTAAGTTTTAAAATGCCCTTTGTTTTTATGAAGCATTCGAGAGAACAGGTGATAGTTGCTATTCTTAAATGTCTTAGATGCTATTCTTAAATGTCTTAGTTGTTGCTAAGCTTTGAAAAGCCCTTTTACCTTAGAGATCTGATGACTACACAAATTATGTTTTCAGGATTTTATCTATGTTTTAAAAATATTTTACTGCAGCCATAAAAAGGAATGAGATCATGTCCTTTGCAGGGACAAGGATGAAGCTGGAAGTTATCATCCTCAGCAAACTAACACAGGAACAGAAAACCAAATACTACATGTTCTCACTCATAAGTGGAAGTTGAACATTGAGAACACATGGACACAGAGAGGGGAACAACACACAGCAGGGCCTGTTGGGTGGTGGAGAGTGAGGAGACGGAACTTAGAGGACGGGTCAATAGGTGCAGCAAACCACCATGGCACATGTATACCTATGTAACCAACCTGCATGTTCTGCACATGTACCCTTTTTAGAAGAAAAAAAGAAAAAAAGGACAAAACTATGTTATATGTTTATATTATCTACACAGAGGCACTTAATTCAGTTGGGAAGTATTTAATGACTGCTCTGGTGTGAAGGTCAAAATAATTTTTTTCTCATCAATTATCTTTATATCATTTATTGACAAGTTGTTCCATTTTAAGTTGATCTTTGAAAGTTCTTTTATTATAAAGTAAATTATTATGTGTAACACCTTTTCCATCCTTAAGTTGGGGTATTAATGATGCCTATCTAACAAATGAGGGTAAAAACCAGATTATGTGTGATAAAGTCAATGTAACATCTTAAAACAGTTTCAGATTTTGGACACAGTGGGTTCTCAACAAGTGTCAATTTTATTCCTTCCACCTATCCCCTCAACATTTTCCCACACATATTTAAGGCACTGTCACTATGGAAAAAACTTTCTAATAAGACTATACAAGAGGCTGACCCCGGAGATCAGATGTATAGCCGGAAGTCAGATATCCTGCAATTACCATGTTTTTGAGAGATTCTATTTCTTTCCTGAGGACCCAGATCAATGGCTCCCAAATGCCAGTTTTTAAGCTGATGATGATGCATGGTGATGGTTACTGTGTTTTTCAGTGAAATTAGAAAAATAAGGTCAAACAATGAAAGTTTTTATAAAACCATTTTAAGTAACTGTTATTTATTCTGCAATTATGGTTTTCCTACTTATTAAGTACAGTGAAATTAGAAAAATAAGGTCAAACAATGAAAGTTTTTATAAAACCATTTTAAGTAACTGTTATTTATTCTGCGATTATGGTTTTCCTACTTATTAAGTCTTTTCCCTCTACTTATTAAGCTTTAAAATGCACTTTGTTTTTATCAAGCATTGGAGAGAACAGGTGATAGTTGTTATTCTTAAATGTCTTCACTTGGCATTGTCCTTGATGGCCTAAAATTTTTCTGGTTCACAAAATCCTGAAATCTCACAACAAGATCAATTGTGAGGTTTACTGTAACATCACAAGAAAAGGATCCAATAATTCTGGTTGACATTTTTTCCATTTTTCAGAGCACCACACACTATACATAGTAGGTGATCAGTGATCATTCATTCCTTCAAAACACAAAAGTTAGTAATCACCTGCCTGGAATTTTGTTTGTCATTGGCCGAAAAGAAACCCATAAAGCAGGCCAAACTTGATTGGGCTGAGAACTGCAGACCAGGCATTTACCTTTGGGCGTTGTGCATACATTCAACCGCTCCTCTCGCCCAGCCGTCAGCACCTCGGACAGCTCAGCCGCAATTATCAAGGTCTCTGAGGAAACCTAACTAAACATAGACAAAGGCATTTTTACATTATCTTTTCTCCGCTTCATTATTTAAACAAGCGCCTCCTGTTCATACACAAGCCTTCCTCTTTGCGTTCTTAAACCTCCCTCTCAATCTTAAACAATCTGCTAGATTGTTTGCCTCGCAGTTTGCAATTCCCCAGCAAAACGGCCAGTTCCAATCTGAGCTGCGGAAATGCCAATTTTAATTAAAAGTGCAATTTTCAAATCCATCCAAAGCTCAGACAGGATATGGCACACTTGATGCCCTGTGATCTTTATGGCTTCTTTGTTGATTAAAATGGGTGTTGCTCTAAGTGCTTTGTCAAATCTTCACAAAAAGGAGGAGAAATTGACATTTACACCTTTATACCGACAAGAAAGTGATATATTAGATTCACCCCTATTGCCACAAAGGCTTGATTGTGGCTTAAGGGCAGAATTAGGCCAAAAGGTCCCCAGTGATAGCTCTGGTTTGATGCTTCAACCTTGAGGGCTCTTTCCTCAGCTGGTGGTGATGGTGGTGGTGGTGATGGGAACCACTAAACAATGTTCCCATTAATTTTCCTACGCCTCTCTTCCCACTCAGTGCCTCTGCAAGGACTTTGAGTTTCCAGGGTAATTGTTCTCTAATTTTGGTGGATACGAAAACAACCTAAAATGCTCTCTTAAAATCTAGATTCCTTGGCCCCACTTCTAGAGATTCCGACTCAATAAACAGGTTTGGGATGTGGTCCCAGAATCTGTACTATAATGAAGCACTAGATTATTCTGATGAGGTAAGTCTTTAGCTCATACTCTGAGAAAATTTGTTCTGGTAATTCTCAGAAAGTTGGCCACAAGAGTCTGAGCTATGGAAAAGGCCAGGGATTAAGCCCTGGACAGGGAATCTAGAGGCATGACCCAGTCTACCACTGACACTTACAATCTGGTATCCTTGGACAACTCACTTCCCCTCTGTTACCATTTTCTATCTTTATAAATGAAAGATCACGCAAGAGACCACAGTTAATCACTTAGTATACAAAGATCTTCAGCAAATCAGTAATAAAAAGAGAAACCACCTGATATAAAGATGAATAAGTGATATGAATAAGCATTTCTTGGAGAAGAAAATATAAACAATGAACAAACATTTGAGAAGATAACCAGCCTTAATAGTGATCAGATAAGTACAAATCAGAATCAAATAAGCTTTTTGGTGTTGTTTTTATTTCTGCTATTTTTCTGCTTTGCTCATTTGCTCATCATCATATTGAGGGAAGAGAACCTTGTGAGTTGATAACTGCCAGCACAGGGTGTGGAGACGTAAGAATGTCCTATATCATTGGTGAAAGTATGAAAGACTACATCTTGAGAAAGTAATCTGTCAAGATTTATTAAAATAAGAAAGTGCATTCTTTCACTCACAGTTTAGCTTTGGGAATTTATTCTACATAAAGAAATGCATCAGGACATGTAGATACAAGCAATGAATTTTTACTGAACTTTATTTGTAGTGGCAAAAAATAGAAATTACCTAAAAGTGTATCAACAGGGGACTGGTTAAGTACATTCTGCTACATCCAAACTAGGGAATATTACACAGCTATTGGAAAAAAATCTATTAGATTTGGAAGGGCTGATCTCAAATGATGTCCATGATCTATTATAAGATGCAATGTCAAATCACAGAGCAATGAGCACAGTATGATCCCATTTTTTGAAATAAAAAAGAAGAAAACTCCATGTTTATATATATGTGTATGGGCTTGGCATAACATGTGGAAGAAAATATACCAGACTATTGATTTCTTTTGTTATTTATTTTTTGTGTGTGTGTAATGGCTCACTGCAGCCTCAACTTCTTGGGCTCAAGTGATCCTCCCGCCTTAGCCTCCTAGTAGCTGGGACTGCAGGTGCACACCACCACACCTGGCTAATTTTTCTGTTTTTCTTAGAGACCAGGTCTCTCTACATTGCCCAGGCTGTCCTCAAACTCCTGGGCTCAAGCAATCCTCCCACCTTAGCCTCTCAAAGTACTGGGATTATAGGAATGAGCCACCATGCTCAGTCTTAATATTGTTGGTTTTTTTTTTTTCAAGGTGAGATTATAAGGGAAACCACAATACTTTCTATGTTCAATTTCACATTGTATAACTTGTTCTGAAAGAATATATTACTCTTATAAATGAACAATTATAAAGTTGACTTGAGACTTAATCAAAAGCTAAAAAGTCTCAAGGGCTGGATACGAGGGATCACTGAGATCCCTTTCAGCTCCTACAACCTGGGGACACCTATCTTCTTCCCCAAATCAGCATCAAGGTTCATTTCTGTTAAAGATTCTGAGTCACTTAGAACTAGGCAAGATCCTCATGGCAATGTTCATTCTAGTGTACCCACTGCAGAGTCCACCTAGGAGAGACCCGGGCCCCTGAAGTTGGATTTTGGGGCCAGATTGCACCTCACAATCCTAGCCCATCCTGGGGACTTGCAGGTGGAAAGACAAAGCAATGCTCTCTCTCTCCTCAGGTTCTCCCAGAACATCACCTGACTCCATTCTACCCTGTGAAACTCACACCCAGGCCCATCTGGGGTTCTCTGGGGATGAAGGAGAGATCTGAGAGGCCAAAATAGATGCCCCTTTATCAACTAAGATGAACCCAAAGGTTAAGGAAACAAAGTAACCTATGGGTCGAGGGTTCGGGGCCTGACCATCCTGGAACATTTCTAAATTCCTTTAGCTTTAAACTCCCTAACAATAGGAGCTATCAGATCCCTCCTAGCTCTGATTTACAACCCAGACCATTATAGCTCTGACTGAACAGACGACTGACTTTGCATTCTTTCTCATAAGCAATTGCAGACCTTAAACCATCTTCAGCTAGCTTATAGAGGCTGTGTACAAACTTTCTATCCTATAGTTCACCTTTGGATGTACAGAGCCAATTTATACCTCATTTTAATGCTAAAACCCCACCCCAAAGTGAACATGAGATGTATGTTACATATGTATTTACCTACTGTGCATGTACGTGCTCAGCTCCCCTCATCAATATGGATACCTTTCCCCCTAAACCTGCTGAACTATGTATGACTCTATCGTGTAATACGGACACTGCGAGGCAGAAAATCCAACCTGTTCTTCCTCTCTTCACAGAGAGAGCACCTTTAATCCATGTTGAAGACTTTCTCTTCCCAGCTTGCAAACTGATATCACCCATAAAGCTCTTTTTTACTATTTAACCATCTGGTGGTCTTCTGGATAACAAAGCCATGCCATATCTCATGGATATGATCTAAGAAGTGTCCAAAAGACTTCAGGTCCTATGTGACCCCTGGCACTGCTATTGTGAGGTTGCCTATTTGCCACACACAAACACAACCAAGAAGGATGCTGGCACCAGAGGGTCCCCTGAGAACAGCCCTCTCATTGCTGTGCCAGGCTTCTCATCGTTATGTTCAGAGAAGGACGCAGTGACTCAGGCTACAATGCTTTTTCATCTCTTTAATAAAAATATTGAAATATATCACAAACCTAGGAAAATATAAAAGATATAAATCTGCACTGTTTAATAATTCTAAACACCTGTGTAACTACCACTTGAATCAAAACATAAACATTTTCTGAAACTCCCCAGGTGATCCACCCCAATCATACCCCTTCCTCCCTATGAAATCAAACACTATTCTGCATTCTGTGGTCAATCATTTTGTTGCTTCATTCTATATCTCTACCACCTTAGTATCCCAGGACAATATTTCAGCTTTGTCTGCTTTGAATTTAATATAAATGAAGTCATGTTGTATGTAATTGTGTCAATATAAAAATTATCCGTGTTGTTAAGTATACTGTGGCTCATTCATTTTCACTACTGTATAGTATTCTGTTGTATGATTACACCATGGTTACTCATTCTGCCATTGATAGGGTTTTGGTTGTTTCTGGTCATTGCCTCTTACTGACCATACTGCTCTAATTGTTGTGTATATACCTCCTAACATTGTATACAGAAGTATCTCTAGAAATAAACAGAATTGTTGGGTTACAGGGCTTGTGTATCTCCAAATTTACTAGTGTCCAACTGTTTTCCCAAATGGCTCTACAAATTTACAGTGACAATAGTGACAGAATTCTCAGTACTACACTACCTCACCAACATTTTATGGAGCTCTCTCTCTTCTCAGAGTCTTTGAAGTTGCTGGTCTTTCTTCCCACAGTATTTCCTTTCCCTATGTCCCTTTCCCTTTCCTTTATCTTGTTAGTTCTAGGTCATCGTTAAGGACTCTTCCTCCTGCAGCCTTCCCTGACTCTTTCAATCTGGGTTATATGCCACTCCTGGTTCCCATAGTCCCCTACACTGTCCCTTCTATCATAGGTATCAGACTGTATTGTTACTGCCTGCTCCCTTCCCTATCTTGCCCCCCACCAGACTGGAGGCTCTCTGAAGGCAGGGGTGTATCTTGTGCCAGTGCAGTGCCTGGCACACATAGATGCTCAATTCATGACTGCTGAATAAATAGGTAAAACTCATTTCTCTTCTCAACCCACGACTCTCCTCAACCATCAGGAAGCCAGGTGAGTATTAAGGCTTTTCAGAGAAATATTGCCAAAACAATAAATAATAACTCTAGGGAAATTAATTGTTAGATCTGGCTCTTTCATTAGTAGCTCATCAAAGGACTGTGAGCCCCCAGTGAGACTCTTAAAAATAAGTAACCGATCAGCATGGAAGGAAGGACATCCTCCTCCCAGCACCCCCTGCCACCACCACCACCAACACACAAACAGATACACCTCCTGCGAATTGCAGGGCCTGGCCATTTAACACAGTTATTACCAACTCCCACTTAGTGAATTATGAGCAAGAGCCTCGAGAGAGCTTTCAAAGATCTTCAAATGGATATTTAAAAGCACGCAATTGCTCAGCCAGGCTCAGCTAATGGCATTTATTACTTGGAGGATAGGGTATTTACATAAAGCTGGATTTTTATTATAATGGTCAGATGGTTCCTGGG